CTGCTGTAGCAACGGTACCTAGAAAAATTCCACCTGCCAAGAAAAGTTTAAGAAATAAAAATTAGGATTTTGTTTCTTAAGGGGAGGAAAAAAAAAACAAACCACAAAATCAAACCTGTTTTGAAAATAAAACCTGAAAAATGAAGATCTGTCAGCACATGCTGAAGGGAAAGGCACAGCTGTCTACACTATTTACATTAACTCAATATGGCAAGAAAGCAAGAAATGCTTCTATTTTGAAATAGAGCATTTTGAACATTAATGGCAAGGGTATGTATTTTCAAGCCACACACACACACACACACAAAATCATTCAAATCCCAGGATGGCTTTCCATAGTACTTCAAAATTTCTCTCTCTCTCCAGAGCCAGGCTACTAAAATCGTCTTGTTCTATGACTATGCCTCAACCTTCCCCAAAAGGAAGATGTAATTATTTTTATTGCATCACTTGTTATTTCAAACGGCCAGCTGAAAATCTACCAGTACCTCTGAAGACCATTCCATAAGCAACACTTATTCTTCAGCTTTCTTCGGTTTATGTTCTAATGCTCTATTAAAAAAAAAAAAAATGACACTAGCAGGAAGCTTTCCCAAGACAGAAAGCATTCCTCACTTTTCAGTTCTTTCAGAGTGTTTCCAATGTCACTTGGGACGCCTTGATCCTTTCTAGTTCTTGCATCAAAGGCACACGTAGCCATACCTGCCCACTTTTAAGAAAAAGGCTTGTTACAAAGACTGGGTGTGCTATACAAAACCATCTGATTCATATTAAAACTAAAAAATTCAGAGGGTTACAAGTTCTTCCTTTGCAACTGTTGATATCCAGCCTGTTTTCCTTTTCCTAATACCAGTTAGGTAATTCAAAAACTGGCCTGAATAGGAAGTAAGACGCACAATGTTTATGTTAGGGCTCACTTTTTAAAAATGAATTATTATTGTGATGGAGAAGTTTGCTGCACTCCTGTCAATGAAATCTATAAAGCACCTCTTCTGCTTGGGCGCAGGAAGACCTCACACACTGTCCAAACTTTGCATGCCCACTGCATTTTACATTTCAAGGTCTACTAACCAACATTTCACTCATTTCAGGAGTAGTAATTGGTCTTAAATTAACTTCTCCTCAAAGAGGAGGAGCTCGACACCGCGAGCTTGGCCTCCCTGGGAGGGCAGAAAAGCATTGCAAGGGGTAGGCAAAGTGTGCGGCAACAGGGAACGATGCTCACAGAGACACGATTCCCGTGTGTCCGCAGGGGGGTACATCCGCCCGGCCGCGCTCTGCCTTCCCGACCCCGGACTCTCCCGCCGTCCGGCGCGGCGCTGGGAGG